TATATAAATGCAATAATATTTATGTATTCTTCTGCAACTTAGCTTTCTCTTTATTGTTAAATTTAACCCATGTTGATGTGTGTAACTGTAGGTCACTCATTTTTAAAGTCAACTTTATTAAGGTATAATTTACATACAATAAATGTACCCATTTTAACTATATAGTTTGATGATTTCTGACATACATATGTGTAAATTATATGTATATATACCCCCACTACCACGATCAAGATATAGAACATTTCATTCCCCCCCAAAATTATCTTGGTGATCACTCATTTTTACTACTGTATTCCAGTTGTTGAATAAATATGGTACAAATTATTCACTAACTCTTATGAATAGACATTTGAGTTGTTTCCAGTTTGGGTTTTTATAAGCATTGTTGTCATTCAAAGACAGGCTCCTCAAGATAATTGGCATGTAAATAAGAGTAGGTTTGTAAAACTGCAGAGCATGCGCATCTTCAACTTTACTAGATAATGTCATATTGTTTCCCAAAATTGTTGTACCAACATGTACATAAAATTCATAGTGTGGAAGCTCTAGTTGATCCACGTTCTTGCCAAAACTTGAAACTTTAATTTGGGCCAGTCTGGTGGATGTAAAACTGTACTTCATTATAATTTTAAAATGTATGTCTATGATTTCAAATGATTTTGAAATATCTTTTTATATGTCTGTTGGCCATTCAGATTTTTTCTTCTTTGAAGTGCCTATTTTGTTAATTTTTCTATTTAGTTGCTTATCTTTTTCTCACTGATTTAAAGTAATTCTTTATATTCTGGATAATAATCTTTTATTTAGATAATAATCCTTTGTCATGTATGTTGCAGATATATACTCCAGTTTTGCTTAGTGTTTTCATATTTTATGGTGTCTTATGGTAAACAGAAGTTAATTTAAATTAGGTAGATTTATTTCTTTTTTATGGTTTGTATTTTTGCATTGTAAGATATCATTTCCTGGGGGGAGATGGGGCATGGGCAATATACCTAACTTTAACACTTGTACCCCCATAATATGCTAAAATAAATTAAAAAAAACATATCATTTCCTTCTTCAGGTTAAAAAATGTATTCTCCCATTTTTTTCTCCAAAAAGTTGTGTAACTATGCTTTTCACATTTAAGTCTTTAAAATATTTAGAATGCAGGAATCCAATTTCATTTTCTTCCAAATGGGATAATCAGTTTTTTCTTTTCCAGCCAAGCGCGGTGGCTCACGCGCCTGTAATCCTAGCACTCTGGGAGGCCCAGGCGAGCGGATTGCTCAAGGTCAGGAGTTCGAAACCAGCCTGAGCAAGAGCGAGACCCGTCTCTACTATAAATAGAAAGAAATTAATTGGCCAACTAATATATATAGAAAAAATTAGCCGGGCATGGTGGCGCATGCCTGTAGTCACAGCTACTCGGGAGGCTGAGGCAGGAGGATCGCTTGAGCCCAAGAGTTTGCATTGCTATGAGCTAGGCTGATGCCACAGCACTCACTCTAGCCTGGGCAATAAAACGAGACTCTGTCTCAAAAAAAAATTTTTTTTTCATTTCCCCCCTGAACAGCAAATTTCTGTTATATACCAAGTTTCCTGGGCTCCCTATTGTGACCCAATGGTTTGTCTATTGCTGTCTTAACACCACTGAATCTTAAATACTGTAGCCTTATAATAAATACTGATGTCCAATACAAGTTTTCTCACCTGTTCTTTCCTTTTTTTTTTTTTTTTTTTTGAGACAGGATCTTACTCTGTCATCCAGAATGGAGTGCAGTAACAGGAACATAGTTCATTGCAGCCTCCAACTCCTGGGCTCAAGGAATGCTCCTGCCTCAGTCACCCAAGTAGCTGGGACAATAGGTGCATACCACCATGCCTAGCTAATTTTTTCATTTTTTGTAGACTGGATCTTGCTTTGTTGCCCAAGCTGGTTTTGAACTCTTGGCCTCAAGGAATCCTCCCACCTCAGCCTCCCAAAGTGCTGGGATTACAGGTATAAGCCAATGTGCACATTCATGTTTTTCTTTTTAAATGTCGCTTAGTAAATATTAACCCTTTGCTTTTATTTTAGACATAGATATAACAGTGTATGAAACCTCTATTAGCATTTCCAACAAAATTGCAAACTGGAACCTTTATAATATGAAGCTTTCAAAACTGTACATTCTATTTAATCTCTACTAACATTTCCCTAGTTCATACCATTACCGTTAATCTGTTTCATTACAAAATTCTTCTTGGGGTCCTTGCCACCAACACTCCAATCTATTTTTCACATTGTAGCCACAAAAATTTTGCTAAAATGTAATTCAAGCCACCTTCTACTTATCAATCCTTTAGCCAGTGCCTCCAGGATTAAGGCTGAACTGCTCAACTTGGTTTATTTTTAGGAACTACCTTCTGTTCACCTGTGATCCTCACTTCTAGCCATCTTTTCCCATCATATATCACCCTGCCTTCTTCTGTGCTCCTGTTTCTGAGTTCACTTTTGGTTCCTCAAGTTAACTGAGAGAGGTTTTTTTAAATAGGTAAATGGCAATTTGAAAAATTTGAACTCTCAGGATTTCAAACAGAAATTAATTTGCAAATTTATTTTATTTATTTATTTATTTTAAGAGACAAGGTCTCACTCTGTCTCCCAGGATGGAGTGCAGTAGCACAATCATAGCTCATTGCAGCTTCCAATTCCTGGGCTCAAGAGATCCTCTGGCCTTGGTCTCTCAAGTAGTGAGGACTATGGGCATGCACTACCACTTCTGGCTATTTTTTTAAAACATTTTTTGTAGAGACTGGGTCTCACTATGTTGCCCAGGTTGATCTTGAACTCCTAGCCTCAAGCAATCTTCCTGTCTCCACCTCCCGAAATGCTGGAATTACAAGCATGAGCCTCCACACCCAGCCTAAATTGCATTTAAATCCTTAAAAAAAAACACCCAAAATATTCTTTCAGCATAATCACAAACTCTTAAAAGTCATATAGTCCAAAACAACCTCATGCTCTTTCCCTTTTTATGTTTTTAATGCGCTCAGGGTTTGATTAATTAAAACAAGTATAACTCTATCAATCATAATAACAAATTGATTATAAACTCAATTTAATACAAACATTTCAGAATACAAAGCACATAGTACATTCTTTGAACCGGTAAATAAATGTCTCATTTCCTGATCATGATAATTTCTAGTTGTATAATGTTTGGAACTTTCACAATCTTTCTATCTTGGTGAACACTGGAAAAGAAATTCTGGAAGTTATTATGCAGGAGAGATTCACTGCAGAAAGTACACAACCACATAAGAGAAGGAGACTCTAACAGGGATCCTCTTTAGCACCTGACCCAAGATTCTTTTCAGTGTCTGAAATACCTAAGGAGCCAGCCAATCCAGAATGGGGGTCTCCAAAGGCCCAGTTTGTACCACTAACATCATTCAAGTAATCTCTATCCACCTTCCTTTGCTATAAAAGCACCACTCTGCCTTTTCTTCTCACTTTGGTTCTTTCTCAAGCTTTTCACCACCAGAGCTGAAGGAGAAAAGGTCTTCAACCCAGGTGACTTAGGCAGTATAGAGGATCTGGGTATAAAGTTGCACAGGCCACCTGGTCCCACAACTGCAACTTCTTCTATCCTGCTTCCCCCAACGCAGACATATTCATGACAATAAGCCTTGCTAGAAGGTCAAGTTTAGCCCCCAAATTTCAAAATATGTACACACACAAATTGGAAGTGTAAATTGGTAACTTGTCCTCTGACTAAGCCCTAAAATTCTACCTTTGTCAAGGGGAACGTGTGAGAATTCTTCAAGACATTTGTGGGAGCCTTACCCACAGATATATGGATAGGTAGTTTAACCTCTTTTACCTCCTTCAGCTGCCCAAAGGTATACATGCCCACATCCTTTGTTGGGCAGTTCTCCTGGATGGTGGACAGTTTTCCTACGTGACACACTAGCTAAGGGCTCAGACTTAATTACATCCCTTGGTGTCACCTACCCACAGGAACTTACATATCTTTGCCACACCAAATTGTGGGACTGCAAACTGAGCTACTGCAAGTCTAACTTCTCCCTTTCACCCCTACCTCAACGCAATCAGATAGGCAGAGAGCAGATGATTAAGTTTGTTGCCTAAATTAACACCTAATCTGAAAATAAAATTTGAGTCTCTCCTTCCTGAAGGCAACTCTAATCACTATCAGTGATTCTCTGGGTAGAAAGCACAATGTTGGGAACCAATTCTACCACTTCTTAATCATCCTTCAAGTTATGTCTGGGTGCTATGCTTGGGGGTGGTGGATGGTGGGGTTCTGGTTCTAGCCATTATCAGCTTTCTTTAGAATATGAAGTACTTAGCATTTCCTTGACCCATCTTTGACCCCTCCCTAGTTGCCATTTGGGTAATAGAAAAAGTTCAGCACAACTTCTTGTTATACATAAATACAATTTCTTAAAAAAATACACATGTACACGATAGATGGAAACAAACAGTATTGCATACAGTAGTCGTAAGTACAACAAATACACCTTTGCAGTATATTCATACACATGTTTATAGACATGTGAACTCACTGCAAAACAAGCAGAAAATAGGAAGAGAAAAATCAGTTATCTACAAAATCACTAGCATCAAATTCATGTTAAGAATATACAATGAGATTTCATGATCTCAATAAAGATCTCAATAAAGCTGTTTCATTAAAAAAAGAATGTTCAGTAAGACAATAAAACAAACAGGGAGGGAAAGGAGGAAAGACAAATATTCATACATCTTCAAAAGGTAAAGGATTTAGCCTGATGGCACTGAATCATTTGCAGAAAAAATAGGCAGGCATCCAAATCAAGTATCAGAGAAAGCTTTGAACCAACCTCAGACATCCAAGACTTTTATCTCAGATAGAAAATAAGGGAATTTAGTTCTCTTGTAAAATGCATTCTTAATTCCTTTCAGTTTATTTTCTTCCAGAGCACTTTAGGAATTTACAGAAATAAATATAGAGTCACTACATGTTATATTTTAAAATTAAAAAATTGGAAACACAATACTTTATTCAATCAATAAAATAAATGGTAAAATAAACATTTTTAAATCCCTTAGTTCCACAATATGTTCAGATAGGAGAGAGGGCACATAAGTTTTGGGTGGGAAGAATTAAACTACTTTCTACTAAATCTATCTACAACTACTAGTTTTTTTTTAAAAAAAAAAAGGTGTAAGATTTTATTAAAACAAATACACAGTAAAACATAACTGAGATTTCAGAACTAAATATGAATGTTTCTTCTACTTTAAAAGGTTTTTGGGATCTTTGGAACTTTTTTACCAATAGGCTAAATTATTAGTGCTATTTTGTGTCACTAAATATTTTTCCTTTCTTCAACTTTGAATGTTACATTTCTTTGAAAAGAAGCACTTGCTGTAATGTTGCTACCCTGTGTAGGAAAAGACTGTCCTTTTCCTCAAGGATTCTGTGTGTTTGTACCCTAAAGAACCTGCCCTGTGCTAATAGTTTGTTTTCAGTCATTCTAAGTGAGCACACAGACACAAGAAGAGGTATGTGTGGCATTTTTCTGAATCACCTCCAAACAACAATAAAGGTTGTTAAGTCTGCTTGAGATGCCAGTAATACCTGATTTTGTTCCAGAGCACCTTAAAGGCAAGCAGCTCTAGCAAGGTCTAAAAACCTTCTATCATAAACTTGTCATTATGGCCCAATCCCCAACCCTTATGACATCAGGATTTATCAATGTGAATCCAAAACACTAACACCATGACAAGATAAGTGTCACTCTCCACTTCACCCACTTACACACTCTGTCTGAACATGCATCTACCAAACAAACTTAACATCAACTTCCAATCTAACCATCCTAGATCAGCTTAACAAATTTAATATCTTACTGACCTTAGTGATTCCCTTCCCTTCCTAGATTTGCTGACCTAGTCTGCATTTCAGAGAAATTGTTCTCCCTCCTGAAGTTGTCCTACAATCTTAACATGCTAATGAAATATAAAAATTTAAAAAAAGACAAACAAAATACAAGGCCAAATTTTTTAATATTAGAATCAACAGATTTAAGATATTTTAATAAATATAACAAGAAAAATAAAAGAATTATAAAAACTATACACATTCTTCATTGAAAGTGTACATATAGGCAATTTAGAAAATTGCTATTTTACTCATAACTTTTCATACTTCCATAAGTGTAACTAAACAGAAAGTTTAAAGTGAAATAATAAATTGTCACATTAAATGTCTATATGTATACTTTGAATGAACTTATATATCAATATTCAAAATTTTTAGTGTGATAAGTGAGCTTGCTTCTTGCTTGTCAATTTGTCTAATCTAGGTTGGATTGATGATAATGCTACTCTCAGGGGATAATGTATATTTAAACTGTTTCGATGTTTCGTTTTAATAACACTTAACGTAGAGAACCCAGTCTCACACAGGCATGTTGAGGGGAATGGAAGAAGAGATTTTAAAGCAATCTCTGAAAGCTCAGGATATTCATGTTTAACTTTTATCCAAAACGAAGGAAGTGATGCTGTATTTTCAAAATTTATTTTCAATCCTTCATCAGAAGCCAGCTTCAACAACTTATCCTGTAGAGTTACAGTTAAATTTAAATTACCTTTTGATGAAAGAAATGGATTTTGGATCCATGAATTTCCTATGCGTGGATCTTCTTTTGATGGAAAATAAAATTCAAAACATTCTAGCAAATTTGTAAGATGTTCACTGATAACTTTTCTCAGATATGCAATATCAAGATCATTCCCTACTTCACTGATAATTGTTGTTAAATTATGGAACATGTCATAACAATCTGCAGAAATTCTATTTTTCCAAGTTTCTAACTTCTGTTTTTGTCCTTCAATCTTATCAGCCATTGAAAAACATGTTGCATTCTTTCCTTGCATAGAAGCATTGAGATCATTAAAAATACTGAAGATATCAGACAAATAAGCAAGTCTGGCTGTCCAATTTACATCTTTAAAAAGTTGGGACCAAGCAGGTCTCTTGCCTCGCAGAAACACTAAGAGTTCATTTCGTATTTCAAACATCCTTGACAGAATTTTCCCCCGTGATAACCACCGTATCTCTGCATGCATTAACAGTTGCTTATGATCAGCTTCCATATTATCACATAGCAAAGAGAATAATCTTGAATTTAATGCATTAGATTTTACATAATTCACAATTTTTACTATGTCAGTAAGCACACTATTTAGTTCAACTGATATTTTTTTCATAGCAAGACTTTCTCGATGAATGAAGCAGTGTGTTGTTTTACATTCTGGTGCAAGTTCCTTAATCTGGGTAACCACTTCAGAATGTTTTCCTGTCATTGAAGCTGCACCATCAGAACATACTCCTACACAAAACTTAAATTCCAAACCACATTTGTTAACAATATAATTCTTCACAGCTTCATATAGTTCTGAGCTAGTTGTGTTTGTGGGCAAAGAGGCTGAAAAAAAGAATTCTTCCTTTATATCATCGTCGTGTTCAAACCTCACATAGACTAAAAGAATTATCATGTTAGCAATATCTCGGCATTCATCAAGTTGCAATGAAAAATACCTTGCTAACTTTATTTGTTCTATGAGTTGGTCTTCCATATCATTAGCTAGTTCCTGAATACGTCGAGCTATGGTGTCATTGGAAAGTGGTACTTGAGCTACCTTCTTTGCTGCAGATTCACCCAACATTTCCAAGCAAACTTCTTTGATGCAATCTTTCACTAGTGTCTCAGCAATTGTGTAAGGTGTTTTAGATTTAGCAACTGGAAGTGCTACTTTATATGAAGCCCGCAAAGCACTAATATTTATATGAGAAACATTGAATACCTGTTTTGGTTGACTTTTTAACTCACTACTCTTTCTTTCAAAGAATTCTTTTGGTTGTGAACTTATTTCTTTATGTTTTGAATATAAATGTCGCTTAAGTTTTGATGGTTTCATTGCTTCATTAGCCAGTACATCTCCACAGATAATACACTGTGGTTTCAGTGTTTCACCATCAATTACAGCTACAAAACCAAACTCAATATATGAAGGGTCATATTTCCGAGTAAAACTAGCATGAACTCTTTTGGTTTTCCCTTCTTCAAGATGTCTTCTATTATTATCATTTCTTCTATTACTACTTCTGTATTCAGAAAAGGTGTGTCTTTTCTTGACAAAAAAGTCCAGTGAAGTTTGTTTCGTCCTCTGCAAATAAGGATTAAAAATAAATAGTACAAATTTTACTTTTCTTAGTTAATAATGTTAAACCACAAATTAAAAACTAGATTTGATTAAAAATAAAGATTACTTTAAAATTGAGTTATAAAAATAAACAAATGCTTACATTTTCTCAGTTTTATATATCTTTGGATTATAGCTGATAAACCAAACATAAAATATCACACACTGAAATGTGAATCTATTGTATTTACAACTGCTACCACATGTGACTTACCTTGAGAATTTAATAACACCCAAATGGGTCTATTAATATATTCAGTAAGATGAGTCCATTAATCATATGCTTAGATGTTACACCAATGTCAAATCATTGTTACAAATGTATCTAAATACTTCTCCCAATTTTTATACTTAACTCATTATGGAATGATAAAAAATCATTTTCAGGCTAGCACTGGTCTACAGATCACACTTTGAGTACTGCTGGCCTAACCCATGTGTAACCTCCATATTTCAAAACATTAACCATTACCTCATAAAGCCTACTGGTTTAAAATCTTTTTTGGCCTTATCTCAGGCTTTCCATTAGAATTCTAAAACTGAACTCTTTCTCAACACTAACCCATTATTTTCCAACTAAATTTATCACCCCCACCCCTCCTAAATACTTCTTCACTTGATTCGAAATATCCTTTCTTAGCTAGCCTCCCCACTCAAGCTCACATACAGTTGAAACAAAGTGACATTAAATTCGTCTGTTCTCAAATTCATACTTCTGTAGAAACATACCATCATACATACTATTTATCACCTCAATCTTGGCTCTCTCAGTTCCCTAATAAACGCCTGACATCAGAAAAGAGTAAAAGAGATACTGTTCATCACCCTGGAACAATAAATAAAGCAGCCTTCAAAGTTATAACTTCCAACTTAAAAAAAAAAAAAAAGAGGGGGAGGCATTGAAAGTAATTACCCATTTTGCTATATCTCAAAACAGTAGAACATAAAAAAAATAAAATAAACAAACCAACAAAAAGTAATTACCCTTTCTTTGGGAAAAATATATCCAAGGTGATCAAAATGTGCTTTTGTATACCTTGTTAAATAATTCTTATTCATAATGATCACAGTAAAATGTAGTGAGGCCCTTTCCCTGCATTAATCTAGAGCAGATACTCAAACTCTTACCCAATTCCCTACTTTGTCTCGTGAAAAGGGTGTCTCTGATGGCTTTATCATTTTGGAAGGTTGAACAGGCAAACTTCTTTGAATCCCATCATGTTTCCTTTTCATTGTGCTGGTTTTGTAACAAAGACTACAAGTTATCTGGTGACCACAGCCTTTAGTCTCATGTTGAGAAGGCACTCCACATACTGCATGGACATTTCCGTCACATGATATACAACTATTAGCACCTGTGCATTCTTTTTCACAAACTACACAGGATAAAAATCTCAATCTCCTCTCAGGAGAGTTTTTTTCAGCCACTTTAGGAATAATAGAAAGGTTCTCTTCAATATCACTACTCTCTGTTCCTGTCTCAATGTTTTCTTCATACTGGGTTCTGAGACTATTTTCTAACTCTTTGTCAACTTGATCTAATTCATTTTCTGAGTGCAGGCTGGCAACAAGTTCCTCAGTTAATTCAGAGTGGGACAGACCCAGTTTAGCTTCAGAGCTAAATGTACTTTCACATGGAGTTTGCTGCATGCCTCTGTGATACGGCTGGTTTTGGGTCATCTGAATGAGCCACAAAAATTCAGCCCAGTGTGAAGAGTTATTAGTTTGCATCCAGGAAAAAATCCTCTTTTTTATATCCTCATTAGTTTGTTCTGTAGAACTTTGGCTTTGGCAGGTTCGGGGCTTCCCATGGACAATTTTCAATTCTGGCCAAATATTACTGAGTTCACTGACAATCTGACTTGAAAATTCCCTTCCATTGTCAGATTGTAGGACACTAGGGGCTCCAATAATTGTAAAAATATCTAAAAGAGCATGTGCAACTTCCTTAGGCCTTTTAGATTTTAATGACCGCAAAAAACTTAATTTTGTATGAAGGTCTTGATAATGCATAATAAATTTATACTCCCCATCAGGATTCAATTGCATGTCTATAAGATCTACTTGGCATCTTGAATTAACTTCCTTAATTGGTTTTGATGTTAGAACTTTCTTGAGTTTTGAATTTTTCTGTTGGCATGGTTTACAGAGTGTCAGGTATAGCATTATAACTTCTTTTGTGATGTTCTTATATTTTGCCTGTAACTCTTTTTCCATGCGGGTACGTCCGCCATGTCCAATGCTGAGATGTGTATCATGCAGAATGTCAAATAAGTCCTCACTGTGTAAGTAATACCGTATTTTATCTGTTTCTCCATTTATAGCCTCAATCAGCTTCTCATTTCCTTGCACAAGAATCACATCAAATCTAGCCAAGCGACGGTAGTCAACTGATTCCTTTTTTGCCTTAGCTTTAGCCTCTTTCACTTCCCTTATCAATTGGCAGTATTTTGCTTTAGAAAATATCTTAGTATTATTACTTTTGTTTTCCAGTAATACTGCTAAGCTTCTGAAGAACTTTTCTCTCATGTCTTCTGGTTCAATTTCTGTTTCATTAGTATCTAAGTTACTGAGGTTATCATCACCCATGTTTTGAGACATCATGGAAAGCCACAAAAATGACCCTAAAATATAAAAGAAAAAATCAATTAAGGATATTTGGAAATATACTTTAAAATACATACATTGACCAAGTAACCAATGGAACTTAAGGTAGAAGTAGGAGCTATGGACACACAAAAGGGGGATGCCATTTTGGTCAGGGAGTCCAATGTTGGTAGAATAAACAAAGGGTAAATGAAGAACTCCAATGAGGAACAAAAAATTCTGACACATTAAAAGTAGAAAGCCAGCTATATGACTTTTCAGGGCAGTATCCAGGATTAGCCTTAAAGTAAAGCACTGTTTTACCTAAAACAGGATGCAAATTAATGCTTGTATTTATTTATTACACAAGAACTTTTTTTGGCTAGAGAAGCCTCAGCAATACAGAAATAGATTTTTTTTTTTTTAATCTGCAGACTATACCACATTTTCTGTTTTATTCAGTCAGGTTAGCTGTTATATCAACATTTGGGGCTTAATTTCCAACACAATATATTTATATCAGCTCCCTTTTGGGGTTTGTAAAACTACAAACTCAATACAAATATCTTCATCACCAATTTTGATGAAGTAAGAATAGTAGATGAGTCTGAACTAGTGAAAAATATCTGACTTAAGCATATTGAAAAATGTTTAGAATATTCATAATAACAAAAACCTTAGAATGCTTCAAACTTAGCTTACTAAGTCTTAAGAAAACATTTTAAAAAAATCAAATTAGCATAGGACACAGACCAGGTGGCAGTGAAAAAAAGAAAAAGAAGAAGAAGAAAAGAAAAAGATAAAATTTTTATAATATAAAAATAAAAATCAAATTAGCTTGTCACCTCCATACCATCTCATAGCTGTTTGGAAAAAAATTCTTTCTCTCAAGTCAACATTGTTTATACTACTAATTTGCATTCCAAATACTGACCTAGAACATTTAAATCATCCCTAATATTCATAATTTCTAAAACTAGGTTAAAATTAATGATATGTTACTGTTTTGGCCTCACTTAACTCTCAAGTGTTCCAGTAAGACTTCCTTGATGATTAAATTTAAATGCACAGTGAGTTCTCCTTTCCTGAAAAACATAATCTATTTATAGTACAAGTTAGCACTATAACACTTTTTTCTTTAACTGTTTCAAAAGCAGATCTAATAAGATTGTAAGTCTTTAAAGAAACATATATCACTTATTTTTCTAGTATCTTTCATGTTATCTAACATATTCCTATATTTAAAAGTGTACAATACCAATTTGTTGATTAACTTTATAAGAAAATGACAATACATCATGGTAAATGCTATCTCAAAATGTAATAGAACAATTTCTTTCCATGCTGATCTATTTTGTGCCATGCTATGGCGCTATATGCAGAAAAGGAAGGTAAACAAGGATGAATTTGGAAGAGAAAAGGAATACAGGTCAATGTAAATGAGAACCAGAAGAATATGAGCCACAGAAGTTAGTAGAATCAACATTAGTAAGTCTATAATGAGCACAGAATAGGAAATATAGTGCTATAAGAGGAGAAAAACGTTGTATTCATTACACTTAACCTTTTTTGGAAGACAGTTACTCCACAATTAGGCCACTCTGTGCTTCCACCCCCACTATTCATTATAGCATTAACAGACCTTAGAACACTAATGGATGTAGACTTTAGAAATTCCATATTCTTCGGTGTAATTTCTAAATAGTATTTCAAAGTTTTAGACAGCCATTATGTGACAAAAATTGGAGGCAGTGGCTATAGTAATGGGACCTATGGCTAACCTGACAAGTGCTCAATATTTACATACAAAAGTATCCCTGATTTATCCACAATTATTTATTTACTCCATTGCAAAGTATCCATTGGAAATATTATAGTCAACTAATTTTGACATTATTATCTGTTTAATTTAGCTCCTTTAATAACATTATGCTATACTGGTTGACTTTTCCTTCAGCTACATTCACTAGAAGCTGAAATAGAATGAGGTTTGATGACTTTTAAAAGACTAGATCCCTTCCTCTCCCAAGTCTCAAACTCTTTGCCAGAATTAAATTATTCTCACCATTATCTTGAAGTGAGTGTGGCTCTGGAGATTCACATTCCATTCTGTCTTCCATAGACTGGAGCTGGGTGCCTAAGGATTCCTTTGCAGAATCTAGAGGGGTCATTTCTTCCATAGGAACTCCCTGCCCATATGTGTCTTGTGGGACCTGAAGACAAACAGATACATTTGGTAATCAATATAAATAATTATGGTTTGTCATAGCTAAACCTCAAAACATTTTTCCACTACAGTAGAATGTAAGAAGAAGGACAAAAAAAATCAGTCTTCACTGAATTCTTTTTTTTTGAGACAGAGTCTCACACTGTTCCCCAGGCTAGAGTGCCGTGGTGTCAGCTTAGCTCACAGCAACCTCAAACTCCTGGGCTCAAGCAATCCTTCTGCCTCAGCCTCTGGAGTAGCTGGGACTACAGGCATGCGCCACCATACCCGGCTAATTTTTTTATATACATTTTTTAGTTGGCCAATTAATTTATTTCTATTTATAGTAGAGACGGGAGTTGCTCTTGCTCAGGCTGGTCTATAATTCCTGAGCTCAAACGATCCGCCCGCCTCAGCCTCCCAGAGTGCTAGGATTACAGGCATGAGCCACCGCACTGGGCCTAGATTTTCTAAAATATCATGAACAATTCAATTTCACCACCATATGGTTTCCTCACTTTTCCACATACCATATTTGTATCTCCTTCTCCCACAGTGGAAAAGAAAAGTTCAAAACAATATAAATATATTTATTCATTTGCTTTATCCTACAATAAAAACAAAATAGTTTCAGAATTACAACACTAACTTTGTGCTGTAGAACACTTCCAATGACATACCTAGTAGGTAAAATTCAGTATGTCTTTGCAAATGTATATATCCTTCTCTAGACAGAATCCCACTAAGAGTATAGTCAGAATACCATGTTCAAGTTACCTGAATTTTTTATTATTTGATTAATTTGATATACAGTTGGGTTCACTTGTTTCTGCCTGTTTTTAATCATTTTCAATCTAATATATATTTATAAATACTGAAACCATTTACATGGTATCAAAAAAATCAAAATATTCAGAGAAGTCTTCCTCATATTCTTATAGCCTGCATTCTACTCTTACCCCTGCCCCAAAGAAACTTTTAGTTGCTGCTTTATTTTTGTAAAATATATGTATACACATATATACATTAGCATGTAAATGTATGTATATTTACTTATAAGTGTGTGCATATACTGTATACAAATTGAATACAAGGGTGTGTATACTTATTTCTTTTTTCTTTCTTATTATGTATACTAGTTCACACCTTCATTTACTTAATATAAAATTATCTGGAAATCATTTGATACCAGTTCACAGATATCCTCTTTTTTTTTTTTTTAAAGATAGCGTCTCACTCTGTTGCCCAAGCTAGAGTCCAGTGGTGTCATCATAGCTCACTGCAACCTCAAGCTCTCAGGCTGAAGCAATCCTCCTGCCTCAGCCTTCTAAGCAGCTGGGACTACTGACACATGCCACCATGCTTGGCTGATGTTTTTATTTTTTATAAAGACAAGCTCTTGGTATTGCCTAGGCTGGTGTAGAACTTCTGGCCTCAAGTGATCCTCCTGCCTCGGCCTCCCAAGGTGCTAGGATTACAGGTGTGAGTCACACGCTTGGCCCCTCGTTTTTTTAATGTTTGCATAGGGCCACATTATGTTAGTATACCATAGTTTATTCAATCACTCTTATATGGATGGACATTTAGGTTGTTTACAGCATTTTGCTTTTATAAATAATGCTGTAATGAGAAACTATATCTATATTGTTTCTTATTTGTAGACATATATTTTCAAAGTAACTTCCCAGAAGTGATATTGCTAAGTCAAAGAGTAATTCATACATAGATTTGTTAGATGATGCCAAAAACTCATGTGTAGGGGTTATATCATTTTGTACTCCATCAGCAATATATGAGAAGACCTGTGTTCCCAGTTAGGCCAACAGACTGTGCTGTTGAGCTTTTGAATTTTTGCCAATCTGTTAAGTGATAAATGGTACCTCAGTGTAGTTGTTATTGGCTTTTATGATTGAAGTTAAGCATCTTATCATATATTTAAAAGCCTTTTTGTCTGTGAAAACTACTTGTGTCTCAAACTTTTTGTTGCATTTCTATAAGGAGATTAGCTTCTACCCATGATATGTTTTGTAAGTATTTTCACCAATTTATTATTTAGACTTTGCTTGTAGGTTTTTGTTTTTTCTGTCATGCATTTTAAAATAGTTTACATGGAAAAATTTATCATACTTTTCTTGATATGGCTTTTGGATTTTGAGTATCTACACATCCAAGATATAGAAGAAGTCACTCATGTCTTCCGGGTGATTTCAATATTGTTCTTTTTTTTCTTTTTTAATTTACATTTTTCCCCTAAATTTATTAAAAAATTTTGCAAGCCTACAGCACCCAGTATTCCCAGGCAGTCTCCCATCCAAGTACTAACCAGGTCTGACCCTGCTCAGCTTCAGCTTCTGAGATCAGATGAAATCAGGCGCATTCAGGGTGTTATAGTCACAGACTCAAGATTATCCTTTTATAAGCACCAAAGAAGGCAAGAAGAGCTTCATCTTTCTCTGCTGTACTGCTTTTTTTTTTTTTAGAGACAGAGTCTCACTTTCTTGCCCAGGCTAGAGTGAGTGCCGTGGCATCAGCCTGGCTCACAGCAACCTCAATCTCCTGGGCTCAGCGATACTACTGCCTCAGCCTCCCGAGTAGCTGGGACTACAGGCATGCACCACCATGCCAGGCTAATTTTTTGTATATATATTTTTAGTTGGTCAATTAATTTCTTTCTATTTTTGGTAGAGACGGGGTCTCGCTCAGGCTGGTTTTGGACTCCTGACCTCAAGCAATCTGCCCGCCTCGGCCTTCCAGAGTGCTAGGATTACAGGCGTGAGCCACCGCGCCCGGCCTTTAAAAGGATTTGTTCTGTAAAATTGGAGTCAGTCAAAACGCCACACTTAAGGATCTAGAATGCCACATGTGGTCTTAAGGCCACAGGTTCCCTACCCCATATTGTTTTATTGATCCATCTATCCATATGATAGTCCCACAGTTTTACCTAAAGAGGTTTCATGGTATATTAGTATCTAGGTTAGGTGATTTCCCTTCTTTACTCTTCAAGTTTTTCCTAGCAATTCTTTCATTCTTATTTACACATTGAATGGAGTTCACATGCTTTTTAATCCTTTTATTTTCATACCTAAATAATTACTTTTATTTTTTTCTAAGACAGGAAATAGAAATTCATTTTCTATTGTCTTTAAGTTTTGAGTTCCAGGCAGCACAGATATCTGCTCTGGCTATATCTCATTAAGTTATTACCTAATGCAGTGATCCCCTTAGAATTCACTTCAAAAGGCAATAGCTGGTTGGCTGTTCCTCAGCTTCCCTGAGTTTTGCCGACTTACTTTTTTTCTGTAGAGACAGGGTCTCACTCTTACTCAGGCTGGTCTCAAGCTCCTGAGCTCAAGCAATCCTCCCACCTTGGCCTCCTAGAGTGCTAGGATTACAGCCATGAGCCACCGCGCCTGGCCAACTTACTTCTTTATGTTACTTAATAACTGACAGGTGATCTCTCTTGGAATTTTATTTCACTAACGATGTCGTTAAGTAAGGAAGAGAATGAAAAGGAGAAGAAATTAATGGTCACAAGTTAATTTGGCAGGAATATTCAGAAGAAAAGTTATTACAACTGACTTTTAAAGTACTGTAATTAAAATATTCAATGTGAACTTTCTATTTAAAATGAAAAACACGAGTCAGATACTAGACATTGAACTGAACCAATTAATTAGTGTGTAAGAGAATGCTTTAAAATAAACACTGCCTTTAATATAAAAGGATGTTTATCTAGAAATTACTCATATGGCACCATTTGTGACACTGGTGTTTGATTAGGTTTCACTTTTTTGGAAAATCAGAACCTATTTAAACCTCTAGTATATTCCTTCTTTCAGCATTTGTGTAATTTACTAAATCTTTATAATATAGGCCTATAAATTCAATTGTTATGCTATCCAGTATTTGTTATGCTATCCAGTTGTTATGCAAGCCTAGAAATGATAGTTACAATAAGGGAATCTTGTGGTAGTCCAGGAAGGTGACTAATAGCTCACTGCTTGGCAGAGTTTGCTAGATACCAGAATGTTTCTATCTGGCATTTCTATCCTTATAACACTGTATTTGTGTTACTAACTTACTGTAACTTTTTCCACTGAAACAGTGTCTGCCTGTAACCTTTCAGATGAAGTCTGAAACATCAATGCCACACACACACACACACACACACACACACACACACACACACACACACACACAAAATGCTAGGGTGTTATACTACCCTAATTTAGGGAGGCTTTCATTGACCTAACAAACCTGCTGCTTATTTCTACATGTGGATCTTTGTTAGTTAATTAAGCAACAAGTAAACTGGGAGTGAACATATGTTAGGTAGAATCTATTCCAAATTTCCACCATTGTGGAGTCTATTGGGCACTTAATGAAAGTAAGTACAGACAGTTCCCAATTTACAATGGTTAGATGTAACAATTTTTCCACTTTACAATGGTGCAAAAGTCATACACATTTAGTAGAAGCTATATTTCAAGTACTCATACAACCATTCTGTTTTTCAATTTCAGTACAGTATTCAATAAATTACATGAGTTTATGTATTCAATAAAACATTCCATAAAAACACTTTACTATAAAATAGGCTTTGTGTTAAATGATTTTGCCCAACTGTAGGCTAATGTAAGTGTTCTGTTCTGAGCACATGTAAGGTAAACTAGGCTAAACTATGATGTTCAGGAGGCTAGGGGTATTAAATGCATTGTCAATCTGTAACATTTGCAACTTATGATGGGACACAACCCCATCAAAAGTCAAAGAGCATCTGTAATCAATAGCTAAGAACCTCCTAAACCTGCCTTATGAAAACAGCAACTGCTAGGAGTAATGACATCTCCATAATTAAGTCTAATATTGTATGCAAAAGTTCTTCAAAAAGAGGAGAAAGAGAAAGGAAGGTATAATCTTCCTGATAACAGAAACTCTGATTTATGTTTATTTAATCTATCTTATAGTATTTGCTATTTTTTAGCAGAAATGTGGTTTTGCTCCTGC